ACTAAATTCTGCCTCTGAAATTAATAATACACTATATTTTAATTAAGTTGAACTTCAATAAATACATTAAAGAATTCCATTTTGATTACTGTTGTGTATTCCTTTAGGAGTGCATATTCTAATGTTAATATATGGGTTTACCTTCCTTACTTTCTACCATACTATTCATGCCTAAAACATAAAGGCATTTTACTCAAGTCCAGAAACTAACCAACCATCTAGCTCTGTGCCTTGCCCATGGCACTACCTAATACATATTGATAGTATAAAACAAAACAAAACAATACCCCACCCAAGAACACGGCAGAAAACAATTTTATATGTTATTTCAATGTTTCATTCTTCATTCCCAAGATCCTAGTGACTGCACATGGTAAGGATAAGAAGATTTTACAATTCCTACTCCTTCTTATTAAGGCCCCTTAATTCATATTTGCTACCTTAGGCAAAGTCCATCTATTATAACCTACATACATATTTCAGCTGAAGGTGATAGGTCACAGAGTACTCATTACTGAGATTTGCCATTTTCTTAACATGCTTGCTTATTTTAAGAAAATAAAACATGTTCTATAATTTTACCACACTCCAAGAATTCCATAATTACAGTCATTATTTTATCTTAACTCTGAAATATGAATAGACTGATGATAAAAGCTGTTATTTTAGGTAAGACACGTGATATCAGAGTTTACTTTTTATAAACTAAAGATAATCACAAACTGTTTTAAAGTTTAAATGAAATAACCATATAAATTAATCACCTTGATAACTGTAAGTCAGCACATACGTGAAGCAGAAACTTTGTCCAAAATGTTCTAATTAAATACAATGAGAGAAAATTTACTATCAGGTATCAAGTTTTCTGATGTCAGTGAATAGGAGATTGCTATGTAAGATAATGCAAAATTGGTCACGTGTACAAAGATTCTAACTTTGCAAAGATCAAATTAATTAAGCAAGAAACAATGATGTTTATAGGTGGGGATTTCAAATTTCTGATTTCATTATTTAGGTTCATTAGGAGAAAAATAGCAGCTTATAGAAATTTTGCCAAGTCCCTGACTGGACGCTATCTTCATATAAAGGCTTAAATTGCTTTGCATTTGCTGAGAAGCACAAGAATTCACCCATTAGCCACCTATCTAATTATAAATGAGAGTAAGGAATGGGAGGCTTTGTTCAGGAAGTTCATAGCATATATTACATATGCAATGAGAAAAAGCTAAAATGGTGAGCATATCCCCAATATCCCCATCACTACTACGAAGCAGCCACTGGAAAAGAAGGGCTAGATTGTCCCTACCCAGAAGTATGCCTAGAAAACCAATATAAGCCCATTTCTCTCATTCATGGATGATTTTAAAGACCAATCAGAGCGAATCCAATGGCTTTTCTTCAACAGTTGAGAATGAGATCTTCTGGCCGAAGACGTGAGATCCAGAACTACTGTAGCCATTAAGCTTGTAATAGAATCCAGTCTGATGAAAAAGTCAATGCACAGAACTAGGTTGATAAATGATAGTACACAAATGTAAAGCTAGATCCTAGCTCAAACCACACAAGAAGTTCATCTCATGTCTGGGCTTCTCAGGTACATGACTAAATAAATCACTTTTTATTACTTAAGCCAATTAGAGTTATAATTTTTTACATTTGCAACCAAAATCATTACATAGTGAACATGTCTGAGTTTGCCTGGGATGGCCTTCATTTAGTCCTGTTATCCCAGCATGGCTATTATTAGTGTTCCCTTTTCACGCTCTAAAATATCTGATTTAGTGTCATAAAGAAACACAGCAAGTAAGGTCTATAAAATTCTTCTGGTATTGAGGTATGAGATATAGAATGGCAAAGATTCGACAGCATGGTATTTTAGCCTTAAGGAATGGTAAAAATAATTTATTTTGATTTTACACAATGGGATACAACATTTTCAAATGAAGGCTCAATTATGAAAAATAAACTGGCAATAATCTTCTTACCTATTATGTCACAGGATAAACAGCCAAGTATATATAAACACGGAATCTCTGTAAAGCTTTTACTGCACACCAATTAGTAATGAATACGATTGTATACACACACCACTAGAGTGAACCATGTTTAGGCAATGGTATTATTTTTTATTCGGTGTTAAGTTGCCTTTTATTTTAGATACCCCAAAGAGGTCAAAAGCAGAATGTAGAATAGAAATAAGTTAGGAGTAATTAACATTACAAAATAAACATTCCCTTTAAAGATTCACTATTTTTTAAAAATTTTTTTTAAAGATTCACTATTGATTTCACTTTTCAATACTTATTCAACTTTCTCATTGAATGAAAACTATCATTCAATGTAGAAAGTTCACATAAAATATTAGAAGCTCTGAAATATTTTAAGCTGAATACATTTATATGAAATAATATTATTATAACAAAAACTAGCTAATATGATTAAGCACAAATTCATAATACATAACAAACACGCTTACTTAAAACACATTCACTAAAGACCTTCATCTGTTTTGAAGACTCAACATCTGCCCCTTTTCTATCTACATGGGACATATAATTTACGACATTCAGATTGGAGTTTACCAGCAGTTTCAAATATGGAAGTAGTTACCTATTTCTTTGTGAACACACAATGGCTAGATAGAGTACTGACATTCTGATGGGAAGATGTTTAAAATTCATCAATGAAAATAATAATGGAAATGTAATCAATACAAACTTAATCCTTCACAGCAAACATGCAAGTAAGGCCATTGGTTTATGCCTTTAGTGAATATTTAAAATATCTCTAAAAGTCTCATTTAGGTTAAGCTTTCAATAAAGCAAAATAAATGATTCCTAAGAAACAATAAAATAGGAATATGTTTCAGTCTTCATACATTCAGCAATCATTTATGCTGAAAAATGAGACTACTGCTTTCCACTTATATTTAGTGTTTCATGTTCACAGGTGAATGCATATAATGTATAAGTAATAGGCTTATGATTCTCTTTTGAATAATACAAAAGACAGTAAAAATAATAAATTCAATAACTTCTTTACAAATCATGTCCTCCTATCTTATGTTTTAAATGTTATTAAATGCTGTTGATAAGTGATAAAGTGTTCACATTTCCATAAACAATATTTGAGATTTATAAATTATATTTGTAGCAAGGTCTTCAGTTTTGGCAGTAATTCCACATCACAACATCAAGAATAAATGAAGAGCAATTATACTGGGACATGACTGCCCCTCAAAAGTGAATTAAACTATGCTCATGAATGTTCTACCTTTCTGCCCTGCTGGAAAAACATCATCCCCCCGACCCCACACTACCTCAGTAACTCTTGTCAGTCTTGAATTAATGTTAAAGTATAATAAAATATAAATGTGAAGCCTTTAAAAGAAATGAAAGCCATAAAAGTTAATAATAAAAGACATCATTTTGGTAGGGAAATAGGTTGCCTAAATTTTACTTCTCAAAGCAAAGATATTTATAATTGGCTTGAATATGCCCATGAACAGCATTCTTTAGCAACAGCTAGCCTTATTACAATAGTTTCAAAATTAAATCAAAGATCTGAGGGAAAAGGCCTAAAAAGAGAAGTTGAACCTACGTTAGAACAGATTCGATACACACTTGTATTCAAAATAAAGACTGAATTAAACTTTAAAGAGTCTAGCAGAAGTTTCATTTGTGAGGAGTGATTCTTCTTCAACACCTCATTATCACTAGTTTCTTCAACTGTATTCAAAAATACCTACTTCCCTATCTTCTGATCTCAGTGAAGACTTTGAGGATGTATGTGTCAGATTGGACACTGTTAGATGCCACAAGAAGATTTGAGAGTCCTTCTTTATGGTATTTGCACTGTTGATAACAGCATAATCCTCCAGCCAGCAAATGGACCAGCTGTATTACTGACCTTCCAACAAATGAAGAGGCCTGTTTGATCATAGCATTTCCTTGAAAATTCTTGTTCATGAAACCCAATTTTGAAGTTGAAAATTCTCCACCCACGATCCCTATAGATCTAACCATTCATTTTCTGAGAGAAATAAAACACTGTCCCCCAAAATGGAACAAAGATACAGAAACAAATGCCCAGAGGTCAAGAAGAACAGGAGAAAGGAACAGAAAACAAAACAAAAAACAAAAACTTAATTGAACCGCATCAAGTTTAACAGTACTACTTATCTTGACAAATGGCTATTACTCTCATTCTCAAGTTGAGATAGGGCTTTTTAAGAAAGATGTGCATAACACAAGCCTTAACAACAACAAATTATTTAAAATCCATGATTTACATTTACACACATCTATTTCTGTACAACTACACAAACTATCAAATATTTTATAGCAGTCACTCTATTTGAAAATTCAATTGCAATGCTGTATTGTTAAAAGTCAATCAAAACAAACAAATCAAACCAAAATGAAAGATTTCTGATGAGGAAGTAATATACCAATAAACCATAAAAAAACCTGATATAAATATATATAAAAACTTTTACTTATTAACAAGAAACTTTTCATTAAGTACTTTCCGCCAAAAGAAAATACTTACTAATGAAGGATCTAAGAAACACCAGAATCATCCATTACAATTTGAGAAACGCACTTCTACTCTCTCTATACCACAAGAGTCAAAAGAAGATGTCAGGGGAAATTACCCTTTAACACATCAGAGAATACAGAAATGAGAGTAGCGACATTTCAGTAAGCACACTACAGTCTGGAGACCATTAGGAATACAAAAATAACACAGGAGCGTTGGAACAACCAGATAAAAGTTTACAAGTACAAGGACAAAAAAGACTCCCATTAGGAAAGAAAGGCATTCGAATCTATACTAGTTCATGTTGAAAAATCAGATAAAAATATCATACTAACTAAACAAATCCTCTGCTGTCATATGGTTCACCGCATCAACCTTAATTATGTGAGAGTACGTTAGAGTGCACAATAAGAAAAGTTTAATAATTCAGAGTAAATAAAAATATATGTTTTGCTTACCTTTTAAATGTTCTTTCTCCTCTTTTCTATGCCAGTCCAGATGCTTGGGTATAGTTCCTCCCTGCCAGTAGATGGAGATAGTAAAATTGAGTCTTTTGGTGACCTCGCATCCTAATCTAGGTGGTTCAGAATCTTCAATTTCAGATTTTGGAAGTAAAAAAATTTGAATGATTGAAAAGACACATAAAGCTTGTAAAAATTATTATATGAGTCAGTCAAATGAACTTTTATTCATGGTCATTTGTACCAATCTTTAAGGGAGAAGGTCTTGGCTGGCATAGAAAAAAATAAAAGAAAGAGCATTATTTTGTAGGATATATTCCCTTGACTCTTCATTCTTCCCAGAGCTTGCTCATTTACTCAACAAATATCTATTGGATAGAACTCAATAGTAGCTTGCAAGTCACTTGCCAGATGCTTTCATACACATTACCTATTTAATGCTTTTAACAACCCTGTGAAGAAGTAATTATTAGCTCCCAAAATCTTGTCCCAGAAACCATATTTTTTAAAGTTCCATATGGTGAGCTGACTCTTGATGCTAAGTTTCTCTAGTCCTCCTGATGTTCAGTTAATTGCCTCTCAGATTTAGGGAGAATGAGTTTCTTCCTCCTTCTGATAAAGGGGACTTTGAAGTTGTTGAAAACTCACTCGCTATTGATAAAAACTGTCTATGTTTTATTTCATTTCAAATTAATACAAGTTCTCTAACAGCTTCCAAGCAGAAATGCAAAGGCTAACGTACAGCCATTTTACAGAGGTTAAGTGGATCATCTGAAATAAAATGGGATTCAGAAAAAGTGCTTCACGAAGTATTTTTTTCTTTGAGAAATTGTGCACTTAAGATCAAATTCATAGGGATGAGCATTAACATTTTTAGATTACTAATAATGGCTTATAAAAAGAGTAAAATGAATAACATTTCCTAAAGATACTAGAGGACACAAAGGTACATCCTGAGGATGATAAAGAAACACACTAGAAGATTAAAAAAAAAAAAGAAAGAAAGAAGCACACTGGAAGAACATTCAAAACTTAATTGAATATTGGTGAAATTATAAAATAATTGGTTCCATTTTTCTCACTCAGTTTAATAAACCCATGTAAATTTTAATTAAATAGAATATATCCCTGATCCTTATCATAAGTAAAGTCTAGGTTTCAATACTCCTAGTACTCATGGTTTGTGACTCTATTTCAACACAACACACTTTGGGGAAATAAGGTATTACCTAACTATTCGAACAAAAGTAGTACCAATTCGTTCAAGAATGACAGATTAAAATAAAACTACTCACTTTTACATAGTCACCTTAATCACTCTGCCCAAATAAAGTAGTATTTATACACCTCTTTATAGTTCTTATAATAATTTTCAGATTATAAAACACTTTCTTTTACATATTTTTCTTTTTGGCGGTCACACAACCTTGAAAACCAAATGTATTATGCAAACTCTATCACTGTGAAAATAGTGTTGGTTGGCACAGTAAGTTTACCATATAATTTCTTGTCCAAACCAAACATTTTTAAGAATAAAAGAGGATGGTATTATTAATTGTGTCAGGACAGCAGACGTAAACCATGATGGGCCCCAGAAAACATGGACATATGGCTACCCTAATGAAAAATAACAACATTAACCTTCAATCCAGAGCTTTTGAGTCTAAACATTTTTTTTAATTTTTATTTATTTATGATAGTCACAGAGAGAGAGAGAGACAGAGACACAGGCAGAGGGAGAAGCAGGCTCCATGCACCGGGAGCCCGATGTGGGACTCGATCCCGGGTCCCCAGGATTGGGCCCTGGGCCAAAGGCAGGTGCTAAACTGCTGAGCCACCCAGGGATCCCGAGCTTTTGAGTCTAAATTCTATTCTCTTTCCACTCTACCATACGACTCTAGAAAATCTTTCAACAGGGACATCTACGTGATTAATTCTTAAAAATATGCTTTCCTATTAGCATCCTTGTTCAACTTAGCACACTGAGTAGAACTTTTTGTTTTCATATACTTGGTAATATTATTACGTTTACAGGACTTTATTTCAAAGTAGGTTAAAACAAAAACAGCAACTCTAAAGCCTTTTCTGTTTAACTGCTTTTTAATGAGTTGTGAGGTGTTTCTAATATTACCAATGAAGCAGGAGACATTTTGACCAATTATTATCCTTTTGCTGGATTCTGGCTCCATTCCATTGCTCAGAACAACAGGGTTGATATTAATTCTACCCTAATTGTAAACATTCTTCCAGAATTTGGTACTCCTTAAAAATGATAAATTCCACATTAACTTAGAAAAGATAAGAGACTGGGGCTTCTGGGTGGCTCAATCGGTTAAGTGTCTACCTTCAGCTCAGGTCATGATCTAGGGTCCTGGGATTCAGTCCCTTGTCCAGCTCCCTGCTTAGTGGGGAGTCTGCTTCAACCTCTGCTTCTCCTTCCTGCTTGTGCTGTCTTTCTGTCTCTCTCAAATAAATAAATAAATAAATAAATAAATAAATAAATAAACAAATAAATAAAATCGTTAAAAAAAAGAAAATATAAGGAATCATCTTAAAATGTTTAATGATTAGTGTTAAAAGTCATAGAAAAGAAAGTCATTGAAAATGAAACTATACCAAAAAATAAAAACTGCTTATCCTTCACAATGAATGCAAGTCTCACATGTATATTAATTTATTTGATTATTTAGTTTCTAAAGTATCTGTAATTTAATTAAACTCTAAAAGTTCATGGATTTTGCCTACATCTCTGTTTTGTTTGGTTTTCATTGTTTTTTACTGGTATATTGCATAAGCATAACACAGTGACTCACACATAATATACAATAAATATTTGTTGACTAGCTGAACTGCCTCCGAATAAAGTCCATGTTTCACCTGCAAATCTATTAAAAAAAAAGATTAAACAGATGAAATATGGCTTGATTACCAGCCTATCATTATTTTCTGGAGATTGCTGGATTAAGAAGAATTGACTAAAATCCTTCATATTATCTGAACAGATATTAGCAGCTCTTGTCAGGTCATCAGATACGTTCCCATGGAATGAAGTTATGTTAAATTCATATTTGGAATTGCTTTACCATGATCTCTAAAATAAAACCTCTCAACTGCAAGGTTTCATCTAAAGAGCATCAGTTTCAAGGAAAAAAATGATTATTCCTTTCTGAAATCAAAAGTTAAGTATCTTTTAAAAATAACATCCCCATTCTCTTGGCCAGACTTTGGAAATACATACATACTGAGCAACGAAAAAATGTAAAATTTTTCTCTTCACAATTCCCTTTCTTACCACAATTCCAGGATCAAAATTTATTTTGCTTAGCCTTATGCTTTAATTTTTCTGTGCCAGATGACAGATATAAAGGTAATAATATTTAGAAGTGAATGTAAGTATTATGGTACAGTGGAATAATACAGTAGCACCATTATTGTAAAGAGCATGCCAGGAGGATGATCTGGACAGAAGAAAATAATAACGTAGGACGTCTCTGAGACAAAACCCTTGACGTGATTCGCTAAATAATGTCTATAATCCTCTTTCTTTATAATTGCTCCAATTATAAAAGTAGGCTTCAGAATTCCTCAAGTGTGTTAAACTTCTGAACCAAGTATTTAGAAACAAGAACTAGTTGTTTTTTTTTTTATCCTTTTAAGCCAATGGCTTGAGAAAGTTTTGAGAATCTGATGAAAGATATGGGTGCTCAAACCAGAAAATTATATAACTAAAGACATACTCTTACAGTATTCATACGATAGCATACAATTTCAGAGAATTCATCTAGCCCCTAAAACCTCTGTAAAAACCTCTTTATCTATGAAATCAAGGGTAAGAACACTTTCTCCAAAAATAACGTGTCCATTATAAAGCAAAACAATGAGTTCTCCATTCCAGAATCAGGTTGCCCAATAGTGCCATGTTGGTTCAGTAATATCAGTGTAAAAGAATAACTGATTTAGCAATTAGGCATTAAAAAAGAAATGCATTCTGAAGGACTAATGAGTTCTGGAATGAGCTGGAAAAAATATATGTATAAATAGTAGGTATTGTATTTTTTTACGTAAAAATAGTGACAATAGTTCACAGACTTCCAACGCAACTGTTAGAAAAGTATTTAAAATATTTTCTGGAAAAAATGTATCTAAAATATGTAATTTAAAAACAAAGGAAGAACTCTTTCCATTCACTAAAAAATGTGTTCTCTTTTCTAAGGAAATTTTAGAGACCTGGTATCAAGACATGTATACATAAAAGAATATAGCAGATAGTGTCATTGCACTTCTACATTTCAACAAGAAAAGTTTATTTACTGTAACGGTTTTCAAGTGCAAATGATGAGAGCAGTTGCTAATTTTTGAGCACTAATAGCGGGTTAGAAATGGTTAGGCACTCACATGGATGATGTCACAGCAACGCTGTGAGAGACTTGATCACTGCCACTCTACCAAGGAGTAAACCTCTAACTGGACCAGAGCATCAAGAACACAGTGAACAGCAACGAGGGAAGATGCTCTGAACTGCGGGCAGGATTGCTGACGAAGCTCTTTTCTTTCAAAGCTGCCAGCAACAGTACCCCTGATGAGTAGTAGCAGTTCACATACTTTTTAAGTAGGCGGTGGTTCTCCTGAGCCATGTAGGTGGGTCAGATAGCATGAAATACATCTCCCTTGATCCTAGTTCCTTTGTGACGGGATTAATAGGGATTCATTTTCATAAGATACTTAAGATAACATCAGAAATTTCCTTCTACTTCTTTTTTTTTTTTTTTAACAGCAAAAAAGCCTGTTTGGTCAGGTTGGAAAAGCAGTTAACACAAGGATTGTATATGTTGTTATTTTTGGATCTTAAAGAACTGTTGTAATAATAGAATTGAAATCCTTCACCAGACTTTCTATTTCATAAAGGAGAGTAAAGAAAGTTTAAAAAGATTGCAATTATACATAATATATATATGTATATATTACAGATACATATTTAAATTCTGTATAGGTAATTAAATTTTTCACTCACCAATATTAACTAAAACAGTTTTTTTCTCTACAACTGTACCGTAAGTA